AACTGGGGAGGAGAGTAGAGAGAATGGTGCAGCAATGAAGGAATGAAAACCCAAAATCCCTGTAAATGTTCATTAAAACTAATAAAATTTAATAATAAAAAACAAAAAAACAATTGTCCTGCCTGGGCTTTAAAAGAAAACATTAAATTAAGCTGCTTAATACTTGAGGGTCAATCAACTATCTTGGATTAACAGGTTAAGACTATTGGAGAAATTAATATTATCATTTGTATTTAATGTTTCTAAATATATATATATAATATTCCCCCCCCAGAAATCAGTAAGACAGGAGAGGTAAAGCTGAAGAGAAACAACAGCAACATAAAAAGGCACTATTCAGGGGGGGTGGGGATGGGTAGGGAGAAAAATTCAACAATGAATGACTAGAAACCCTAAGTCTCTGTAAACTTTCATTAAAATTAATTAAAAAAATACTAAAAAAGGGCACTATTTATTCTAAAATAAGCTTTAAAAAGGTATCTTAAAAAAACACCTGAGTAGGCTGTGTAAGAGGGGCAAGCTAAGGATAGAAAGCTCTGCATTTAGATGACCAAACCCTACACTTACCACGGGGGTACAGGATATTCCAAGTGCAACAGAATGGGGTTTATAAAGATCAAAAATAACCAAGACAAATGTTTTCTACCCAACAAGTATTAAGCTAGTGATGATATAAAAGATGAAATAGAAAAGAACTGCTTTGCAAAACAAAAACAAAAAAAACCCCAAAACCAGAGAACAACTGCTTAGTTTAACAGAAAATTTTTGTCTTACATGCAAATTTAGTTCAATCAAAAAGAAAAGATTATGTAGGTATCTTTATGACTTTTCCAGTCTCGAAAGTTGATTAGATTTTTATTATGACACAAAACGTAAGGAACACATAACCAGGCAAATAACAGATGTCTCTTTTCAGGCTTTTTAGAGGCAAGCAAAGGCTGAATGGAAGCACAGATCAAAAAGGGCAAGGTTCACCTTCATTTTAAATCCTATTGTGAAAACTCCAGTCTTAGAACCTCTTGCTCACAACCTTCAGGATGCAAAATCAACACTGTATGCGATCATAGTACACATTCACTTTGTTGGTTGGAAAACTCAGTTAAGTATCAGCTGTAGGCACTGTACAAAGTTGTTCTTAGGTGCCATAGAGTTGAATATGACTCACAGTGACTGTCTGAACAGCACACGTAAACCTTGTCTTACACTGTGTCATCTTCATCATTTCTGACATATTTGGGCCACTGCTGTAGTCACTATTCAGTCTGTCTGGATGAGAGTCCTCTCTTCCGCTGACACTCCACTTCTCCAAGCACAATGTCCCTCTCAAGGAATAGCCTCTCCTAACAACATGCCCAAAGTATGCGAGACGAAGCTGCATCTTCTTTGCCTCCAAAGACCATTCTGGCTATACCTTTTCCAAGATATATCTGTTTTTTCTTTCAGCAGTCCATGGGACATTCAGTGCTCTTCCCGAACATCACAGCTCAAAGACCTCAATTCTTCTATCATCCTTATTACTGTCCAGCTTTCAGAGGCATAGCTAGTAACCAAAGAGCATCACCTGAATGAGGTGCACCTCAGTCTGTGAACTGGCATCACTGGTCCTCAGTAATCTGGAGAGGTCCCTGACTGCAGACTGTCCTAATGTCTCCTGCTCTTTGATCAAATGCAGCAAGCACTTCAAGTCTTCTTCACTTTTAACAAGTAAGGCTGTGCCATTTGCAAGAAAAGGAATTGTGCTGTCAACTCAAAATTACGTGGCTCCAATCTACCAGCTGCTCTACAGGAGAAAGATGGGCAGTCTCTTCGTATGTCATTTACTGCCTGTCCAAACCCTAAGGTTAGCTTTGGGTCGGTTCTGAACTTGATGGTAAATAATAACATGTCCCACGTAAAGGTTAAGACAGTGCTCAATTTCACCAAGCATGCTGAGTGCAAGTTTACAAAGTTTATGAACAGCCTATCCCATCCTTAACCTGAACAGGATAATTACTTGTGCAGATAATAATAATGGTAGTTGTGTTGATTCTGAATTGGTCACAGATAAAAGGAGTTGAGAAAGAAGGCCAGAGATAGCAAATCCAAGCCAGAGGAATGGGAAAATAGCATCAATAAATCTAGATGCAAGCAGCTATTTGCATGCACACACAATTATAAATTTAAAGATTAACTGTAATTATTAGTGTGCAACCCATGGGGCTTCCAACTAAAAGGTCAGGAGTTCTAAAACATCAGCTACTCTTCAAGGAAAAAGATGGCTGGTCTCCCCCTGTAAAGGTTCACAGCCTTGAAGACCACACAGAGAGCAGTCACGAGTCAGAAATGACTCAAGGACGATGGGTTTGGCAATGTAATGATTCTAAAGGTTTTGGTGAAAACTGCAAAAATACATTAAAAAAACAAATCCACAGTGAAAAACCACACAGATGACAGAACAGTGAGAAAGGCAGGCAGGCAATTGGGTGCTAGAAGATGAAAGGAAAAAAATCTCCACAAAATGCTTCCCTGAAATCTGTTCTCCACAGGGAGTTAGTGAGTCCCTACAGGTAAGGACGAGCCAGTCAGTCACCGTGGAGCCACAGGGCTGGGCTAGCAGAGCACTGAGACCTCACAGCTACACCGAGGGAAGCATCACCTGGCCAGACAGGTCTTGAGAAGTGCCAAGGCACTGACTGAGCCATCACTGCCACAAGACAAAGGTCGGCTGTGCAGTCAGGGCCTTCCTCCCACTTCTCTTCTCCTCTTTGCTGGATTGTGAATTTTAAGTATTGAACGGCTAGATGCATGAAGGGGATGAATTACACTGAGAAATGTCAGAGTTCTACATCTACTGACTGATCTCTCATCCTTTTGTATACTGGTTCTCACAAAGAAAAGGCGATAGGTTGTTTAAAGTCTCGTGGTCCTTCATCCTATGTTTCGCTTTGTCACACAAAAAAGAAAATTACTTACTATGTAAAGCCCCTTGATCAGTGAGGTAATGAGGGGACGAGGAAAGGGCCTATGGATTTACTAGAGCAAAAGAGGATGTACAATAATATTGTAAGTTAATAGCATATTAAAGAATATGAAAAAAGGCCATCCAGGTTCCAGCAGCGGGGGAAAAGGAAAGCTGCACAATCTCCCTGGCTGGCAGAAACAAGATCAGTCTTCTTGAGAACAGGGAAAAGTCTATTTTAAAAAGGCAAACTTAGACATGTGGGTGGCAGTAGACTTTTCCTAGGAGAGGAGGCGGTTGAGAGGAAAAACTGTTGGGATAAAAGCTCTAAAATCTTTAATTGTTAAAATTTACCACAGAGATAGGCATAAGAGAAAAGTCTTCAATGCCCAGTGTTAATCCTAATGGTGTTCAGGACTCGTGTATATTCTCTGCAGATCGCACAAGCTGCCTCCCTGGACAGATCTTCTCACTGCTCTGCACTTAGCAGGAGCACCAGGTGGGCATCCTGGACAAGGCAGTGCACCCATCTTTACCTTCACTGCTTGAACCAGCCGATCACAAGTCCCACAGTGGTATAAGTTGTCACAGTCAAAAACTTCCTCTTCCACATACATGTTCCAAAGTGCATCTTCCAAACCGGACAGGTTTTTAACCGTTACTGTCAGATCTAAGAAGTCTTCCTAAAATATCAATAATATTTCAATATCAATAGATAGTAAAAAAAAGAAGTTCACAAACACATTATCAAGTCCTATTTATACTGAGAATAATCAGATCCCCCCACCCCTTAAACATAGTACATAGGAAGGTAGAGCTCTATTGCCCAGGCATTATGAAATTCATAATACTGAATTATCCTTCTTTATAAGTCAAACTATGATTTATCTTAAAACTGTTATCAGAAAACAACCAGTTCATAAAGAAGTAACTTTATTATGGGTACAATAAAGTCTATCAGGAAATAAAACAAATCACTGACTCTAATCTAGACTGAGACCTGCAGGTGAGCAAAGTTCACCAGCACCATCTTAGCCTCTAGGCTAGAAGGTGAAGCAGGCTGGGAAGGCAGGGCAGGATGAAATTTTCTAACTAAACTCCATTATTTTGCTGCTTCATTTGCTAGGGTTGCTTTACGACCCTTCCAGGGAGTTATAAGAAAAAAAGTATTTTGACTAGTATAAAAAAAAATATTTCTATGAAAATTAAGAGGAGGGTGGGTATGTTAGAAAGAAAGTCTTACCAGTTTTAACTACATTTTAATTACAACATATTTCGAGTAATAACCATGTAAAATTCCACATACTTAAATCATACTTAAAGTTCTATTTACCTGTGTATCAGCATTATTTTAAGAGATAATAGAGACTATAAAGTAGTAAGACATTAGTTAATTCTGGGAGCTTTGGTGGCATAGTGGGTAAGGAACTGTGCTGCCAACCCAAAGGCACAAAGTTTGAATCTGCTAGCTGCTTTGCGGGAAAAAGATGGACATTCTTCTTCCATGCAATTTAGAGCCTCGGAACACCTTTAAGGGAGCTCTGGTGGCCTAGTGGCAAGAAGGTATGCTGCAATCTCAAAGGAAAGTGGTTCGAGGCCACTGGCTGTTCTGCAGGAGAAGGATGGGCAATCCCCCCCCCATGTGATTTAGCCTCCTCTGAACACCCACTGGAGGGTTAACTACAGGTTGGTTCCAACTTGATGGTACACAACAAAGAAGGCTGAAAAAAAATCTATTTGCCCAGACAATAAGGGTTTAGAGCTGTTTTTCATTCCTAACTATTTCTTTTAAAAGAAAATGGAGGCGCCGCCAGCGGATCCTGGGATGTGGATACCGGGGTTCCTGGTATCTGGCAGCCCGGGGGCCCAAGGCCGGGAACGGGGTTGGGGCCAATGCCACTGCCAAGAAGAAACTTGCTTCGGCCAAGTATAAGGAACAAGGAACTGTGTTGGCCGAGGGTCAGTTGGCCCAGAGGTCCAAACAGTTGGATGTGTTCAAGACAAACCTGGAGGAGTTTGGCAGCAAACATAAGCAGGAGGTCCACAAGAATGCTGAGTTCCGAGTGCAGTTCCAGGACACGTGTGCCACCACTGGGGTGGGTCCTTTGGCCTCTGGAAAAGGATTTTGGTCTGAAATGCTAGGTGTGGGGGACTTCTACTCTGAGCTGGGTGTCCAGATTATTGAAGTGTGCCTGGCCCCGAAGCACTGAAATGGAGATCTGAAAACTCTAGAGGAACTACATCAACAAATGTTAAAAGGAAGGGGTAAGTTCACCCAGGATGTCAGCCAAAACATGGCTACGTGACTGTCAGTGAAATCAAAACCAGTCTTAAATGGGAGACAGAGCGAGAGTGCAAGTGCTGGAGCCCCTGCTGAAGGAAGGGCTGGCCTGAGGGGAACTGCAAGCTCCCAGGGAGGCCCACGACTGGCTGCCAGCTCTCTTCACTGATCTCGACGCTCACGAGATCGCAGCTGAGGAGGCCAGAGAAGCCCTTCCCTGACGGGCAGGTGTGGGAGTCAGCAGGCAAGGAAAAGAGGGAAAAGCTATCGGTGAATAAAACCCGAATAATTTTTGGTTTTGTTTTTTTTTTTTTAAAAAAAAACGGAAATCCAAAGAGAAGAAATACATATACTCCATAAAAGCAATTAACTCATAACATTTGGACAATGGCTATTAATATTTTTCTATATCTAACAGAATAAAAGAAAGTTTCAAGAATGACTACGCTGTAAGGAACTCATGTGCTGGACAGGATCTGTAGCACAAGGAGAAATTATTAAAGTCCCATGAGTAAATTTCTAATATCTAATTTCACTTCAGTCAACTGAGCAATGTAAGTCATTAGCAAGAACTGGAGGTTACACACGTTATAAACACGGTTTACAATAGCTCTTGTAAGTATACACATAGATACGATGTTTGTGAAGGATATTAATAAACTAAATCAATACTCACAGATGCTGATCATGTCAAACATGCTTCAGTATTCTCTATTACTTCCTTAACTAATATCCTGACCACCAGCACTGACCATGTCAGCTTCTCTCACAAAGCCACTGTCCTTTATTTTCCAAACATCAAAGTACTGAGTAAAAGATTGAAGGTATCTGCTTCTCTCAAGAAGTATGGATTACAAACAGACAACTTAGATGCAGTTAAAGCAGCAGCAAAACAATGACAAAATGATCTCCAGCAATAGTTTAATTCTCACGTAGTTTGACTGGTCATAACCTTAATCACACGAACTGTGCACCAGGCCTTCTACTGAAATGCTCCTGCACACACACCTGCTTTTCACTGATGTTCTTGCAGTCCTTACAAACGATCTGGTTGACAATGATTCCGTGATACAGGCGATTAATGAGGTCATGGCCCGAGGTCCCAACTAAAGACGTTTCCAAGGCACTGAAGAGAATTCGGTTTAGTTCCTGCACATCATGTTGCCGCATTTCCTGTAAAACAGGTTCACTTTCACATGTCATTTTTGTACTTAATTTGAAAAATAATCCTAGTTAAAAACAAAACCAAACCCTGCAAGACTTCTCAAGAAATGTGAAGGTGTGCCTTGAGAGATGCAAGGAGAGTTCAAAACCAGCTGAGAGCACGTTAACACTCGAGATCACTACCTACTGTTGTTTACATCACAAAATGAATGTGTTTTCAGCATGGACACGCATTTGTTTTTGAGGACAATGCGCCGAGGCAATGCCACTGCAAGAGGAAGAGAGGGGCAGACGGCAGGACAGCCCAGCCTCACCGGGTGGCTGAGTGTGAACAGATCACACCTGGATCCAAGTACTGGTGAACGGAGAATCCCCCACAGCCTCCAAAAACTAGAATTCACCCAAGTGCAGACCAACCAAAGCAAAGCCGGAACAGTGCTGAGAAAATTTCCTGATGGAATGTGCTTCTTTATGTGGGTCACGTAACTGCCTTGAACAAACTGCGGCGCTCCTGGAGAGTGACTTAAATCAGAGCCCAGGGACACACCAGCGTGGAGGAGGACAGGACAGACCAGACCATGAAGAACAGAGAAGATGCTGTATTGTGGAGTAGAACCGACACATAGCTGATCCTCCAGCAGGTTTTCCAAGGCAGTAAATCACACAGGAGGAGCCTGCCCATCTTTCCTCAAAGCTGGTGAGGAAATTGACAAGAATGGGAGGGTCATGGAGACAGGTGGGAGGAGTGAGTGTTACGTAGAGACTATGAAATAGAGAAGAAAAATGGCTCTGGACTTGGCAACATGGATATCAGCAGAATGTTAACATGAAAAGGGAGAAAGGAGGTAGAGAAACCAATGAAATGTGCAGAAACAGCCATAAAGAGGGAATACAAAATGAGGCTGGAGTTAACAGCAGATAAAGTAAATTAAAATTGGAGCAAGACATAGGACTTAAGATGTCTTTCCCCATCAACATCTAAGGCATTAGAGGATGTAGGTCTGGCCAGTACTGACCCTGACAGCATAGAAAATGCACAAGTTTTCAACTGTTTCTGAACAATCCTAAATCTGGTTAAAGTGTTTTCAAAATCCACTTCTATCACTTTAGAGCTATTCCTAAAAAGCTTCTTGCAAGATTTTATTTAAATTTTTAAAGCCCTTTTTTATTTTAAGTATGAAGGCAGTACACCTTACTGGAAGGTCATGGGCAAAATCAAAAGGAAATCCACCCATTTGATAAATGGATTTTAAAAATGTTGTTAGATGCTGTTGAGTACAACTCATGGTGACCCTATGACCAACAGATCTGGACCCTGTCCTGTCCTGTGCCTTCCTCATAATCTGACACCTGAGACCATTGCTGTAGTCTATTGTCCTTCACCACCCCTCCACCTTTCCAAGCACATGATGTTCCTCTCCAAGAAACATCTCCTGGCAACATGCCCAAAGTGAAATGAAGCTTTATCATCTTTGCCTCCAAGGAGCATTGTTGGCTTCACCTTCTCCAAGACACATCTGTTTGTTCTTTTGGAAGTGCATGGGATATTTAGCACTCTTCTCCAACACCAAAGCTCAAAGGCATCAATAATTCTTCTGTCATCTTTATTCAGCTATTAGATACAGAGCAAGTGATTAAAAAGACTGGGGCCTAGATCACAGGGGCACCTTAGTCCCCAAACTGACATCACTACTCCTCAATAATCTGGAGACATACCTGACTGCAGACTTTCCCAGTGCACTGTCTCCCGATTTCCTGCCTGCTGGTATCAAGAGTATTGATTGTGGATCAAAGAAAGATAAAGCTGTTGACAATTTCAATCTTTTCTCCATCTATCACAATGTAGCTTGACAGCAGTGAGAATTTTTGTTTCCATAACATTGAGATACAATCCACATTGAAGGCTGTAATGTCTGATCTTGTGTAGCAAGCACTTCAAATCCTCACTTTCAGCAAGTAAGGGTCTGTCATCTGCATACTGAAGATGACTGATGTCTTCTGACCATGATGCTACAAATTCTTCATGGAGTCCAGCTCCTTGAATAACTTCTTCAGAATACAGATTGAACAGGTATGGAGAAAAGATACAACCCTGATGCACAACCTTCTTAATTTTAAATCTTGTAGTGTTTGTTGTTCCCTTGCTCTATTTGCACAATAGCCTCTTGGTCTAGGTATACATTACACATGAGCACAAGTAAATATTCTGAGACTTCCATTCTTCACAAGACTAGTTATATTTTGTTATGGTCTACAAAGTAGTAGATCTACCTAGCAGAACATTACCTGGCAATAAATGAGAATGAAATATTGAAACAATGCTACAACATGGCTAAACTTTGAACACATTATACTAAGTGAAAGAAGTCAATCACAAAAGATCAGATATTACATAAAAATTCTATTCAAATGTAATGAACAGGAAAATCTATAGAAAAAAAGCAGAAGAGTGCTAAAGAGCAAGGATATTTAAGACTAAAGTGTGCCTGATTCAGCCCATGGTATTTTTAACTGCTTCAAAAGCATGTCACAGCTGGACAATGAGAAAGGAAGACTGAATGAAGAACTGATGCCTTTGAGCTGTGGTGCTAGTGAAGAGTACCAATATTCTACCAAATGCCAAAAGAGCAACACAGCTAAGAAGCAGGGCAACTAGGGTACTTCTTTCACGCAAGCATAATTAGACGTGGTCTCAAGTGTTCTGAGCATATTGCCAGGAGGGGCTAGTCCCTGGGAAAGTATAGCATGTGGAAAGGTAGAGGGTCAGAAGAGAGGAAGATTATCAACAAGACGGATTGACCTGTAACAACAGACTTAAGCATAACAGAAATTGGGAGGAAGTAGCAGGATTGGACAAGGTTTTGGTCTGTTTTATCTGGGGTCACTGAGTCAGAATTGACTTGATGGTCCCTATGAACAACATTTACCAGGAGCTCATGAGAGGTGAGATTAGGGGAAATCACTAACTTCCACTGCTGTTGAGTTGAAAGTGACTCACAGCCGACCCTCCAGCGGGTTTTGAGAGGTTGTCAATCACAGGGAAGGAGAATGCCCATCTTTCTCCCTCTGAACTCCTGGAGGATTTGAACCACCGGCCTTTCTAAAACTGGTTAAGATGGTAGTTATGCAACCCTGTAACTATAATAAAAGCAAATTAAATTTGCATACTTTAAAAGTTTCATGGCATATGAATTCTGATTCAAAAAAAAGGTTACTAAAGGAAGAAAAAAAGGAATTCTCCACAAGCACTTGCCCCACAGAAGAATTTGAATTTGGTAAGCACTCTTTAGAAGATATATTCCCATTTTCCCTTCAGAGCCCTTCATTTGTTAACTACATAGATCGCAAAATCAAAGACTCTTCCGGGAGCAGAGTTGAGCGTTGACTGCTGGAGGCAACAAGCTGTGACAGTCTCCCATACCTTTGCACAATACAGATACTCCAGAAAAGGGGGTACTGCTGGTTTGACTGGTTCTGTGGACTCGTTAGTACTGATAAGCACTCCCTTGCTTGCAGTAAATGGACATAACTGAGTACCTTTTCAGAACTCCACAGAAAGACGAGCTAACGTACCCACAAAGAGTACCCGGGAAAACTAGGAAGAAGGTGAGACCAGGAAAGATGAGAAGGCCTGGCAAGACCACTGTTCTGCTTGAAGCAAATGTCCCAAACAGAACCCCCAGACAGAAACCAAAAGTGCATCACAAGAGAAGATGGGATCTTAAAAAAATCAGCTGTCATTTATTTGTCCCAGTATTATTGTTAAGTCAAAGAATAAAAGGCTCATTACTAGTCTGCTGTGTTAAAAGGCAAGCAATTTCCATGTAATACTTGCTGTGTCTGAATTAAAAGATTCATAAAAACCAGCGCTCATTACTGTTCTGTATCCACACCTGTCTCCTCATTTAGCATCACAGCAATTGACCACAGCAAGTGTCTGAAAACAGCAATTTTAGTTTGTAAAATTTTAACAGAAGTAAACATGTATCCATTATCTGGAGACACTGAGATGAAATTAGAGGAAGTGAATTAATGACAGATTAGACCAATATTTCCTTGTTCCTTTGTTGTTGTTGTTATTGCCTTTGAGTCAAGCACAACTCATAGCGACCCTATGAACAAAAGGCTTGAAGCCCCTCTACAACTATTGACATTTAACAAAGTTCACAGGTTTTCCGGAGGCATGTTATTTAGGAAGTGGATGCCACTCCTGCTTCCAACCTGTTACAGCACATTATTATGTGTTACTGAGTCATCTGCGATGTATAGTGACCCCATGTACAGCAGCTCTGAACCCTTTCCTGTCCTGAGCCAGTCTCACTAACCCCAACACACCAACTGCCATCGTCCCAGTTACTGTATCAATCCATCTCATCCTGGGTCTCCGTCTCCTCTTCCTTTACTGCTTGGCATTACCCCTTTGAGCAGCTCTTTTTCGTACCTCATTGCTTGTCCAGCCAAAGCTGTCAGTGAGGTCTTCCGTGGATGCAGCCTGCTGGTCCAAGAGCAGAAGCTGAGCAAACAGCCGCTGTAGCTGTAAAGGGATGATTCGAACCTGAGTGGGAAACAAAAGCGTTTCTAAGTGAAGATCGTTAAACGCTGATTACAGCTTTTAAAAAGAACTGCATACTTGCCTCATGTCGCCTATGTTCATTCAGTTCACGTGGGAAAACAATCATAAATATCCTAGTATTATTATAATGAAAACTTTTGGTTTTCTTTGAAGAGTCTATTTCAGTCCCAAAGGTCATAGTTTTCTAGGGTTTCCTACTTTGGCATAGTTCAGATTAGTCTTAAAATTAAAACAAAATGTAATAAACCACCCAAATTATAGACTGACAGTAATTTAAATCTCTAATTGTTCTTTCCTCCTCTAAACTATCTCAGATTCCCTCCTAATGCAGGATTCCCCAGGCATAAATAAGTCTCACTCTGCAGTTCTAACAGGTGGGTGGGTTGCCTTCTGCCCTGCTCGTGTTTGGGCTCCTCTGGGTCTGCTCCTCCTGTGTGCTCAGGGGGTAAGGGAGTCATGCAGGCTGGGAGCAGAGGGCCAGGCTGGGGAGGGAGTCATGCAGGCTGGGGAGGGAGTCAGGCAGGCTGGGGGCGGAGGGCCAGGCTGGGCAGTGCTGCTCCAAGTCTGGTCATGGACTGGACTAAATAAAAGTAACCTTAGCAACTTCTACTCTGAGAAACTTTTACAACTATCTGACATTTCTGTCACATTTTTAAATCCAATTACAGAAGTTTTTAGCCTCAAGAGTTTGGGAATTAAAACAAATATATGAATAAACTTGGCCTTTGCTATACAGATGATTTAAGCAGGCTCCGTGCTGGAGTTAAGAGGTTTCTGAATCATTTTTAAACAGAAGACCATGATTTTATACAGGGTCTGAATTTTAAATATAATATCATTACAGTGGCATATAATATATTCATTTCTTTACTCAGTTTAGAATTCTAATACTGAAAAAAAAATCTCTCCTTTTGTTGTTGCATAGAAGTGCATTCAGGTGTGTTTTTTTTTTTTAGCGGCTAGTGCAGATGATTTATAAGTGTATCTGTATCATCAGAGGAAAAAGTGATCACAGTGGGAAGTGAGGTATATTTATATGGCAGCTGTTGTTAGGTGCCACAGAGCAAGTCTGACTCACAGTGACCAAGGACAATGGAGCTGAACCCTGCTCTAGCCTGTGCCATCCTCATCTTTTCTGATGAACTTGAGCCCACTGCTGCAGTCACGGTGCCAATTCATTTCGCTGAGGGTTTTTCCACGCTTTCACTGACCCTCCACCTTTCCAAGAATAATGTTCTTTCCCAAGGACTGGTCCTTCTTAATGATATGCCAAGAATATGAGATGAAAATTCACCCTTTTTGCCCCCAAGAAGCATCATAGCTGTACCTTCTCCAGGACATATTTTTTTCATGTTTCATAAGAAGTGTTTGTTCTTTTGGAAGTCAGGGGATACTCAATACCCTTCTCCAACCCTAAAATTAAAAGACATCAATTCTCCTTCTGTCATCCTTAGTCAATGTCCAACTCTCAGATGCACAGGAAGCAAATGAAAAGTCCACGGCTTCAATCTGCTGTACCTTGGTCCTAAACCTGGCATTCCTGCCCCTTAGCGCCCTGAGAGGTTCTGGAAAGCAGTTCTTCCAATGCAACCTTTTTTGATTGCTGGTACCAAGGGTGTAGAATCCAAAAAAAAAATGAATTTGGTAATTTCAATCTTTTCTTCATCTATCATGCTGACTAATGGTTCAAGTGGTAAAGGATTTTTGTCTTCTTGATGTTGAGATGCGATCCATATTGAAGGCTGGAGTCTTTGATCTCATCTTAGGTCTCCCTCACTTTCAGCAAGGTGTGTCATCCACAATGCGGGTGGTTGCTTAATCTTCCTCTAACCCTGATGCCACACTGTTTTTCATAAAGTTCAGCCTCTTGAATGAGTTGGTCACCATAAAGACTGAGTAGATAAACAACAGTCACACACACACACCTTTCTTGATTTTAAACCATGCAGTGTTCCCTTGCTCTATTTTAATAATAGCTTCTTGGTCTAAGTATAGATTTTGCATAAGCTCAATTAATTATCCTTCTTAATGTTAGCTACAGTTTGTTATAATCTAAACGTTAAATGTTTTTGCAATGTTAATAAAAAAAAAGACATCCTTCTGGTATTCTCTGCTTTTAGTCAGGATCCATCTGATATCAGCTGGTGCTATGGCCTCTTCTAAATCCATCTTGAATTTCCGGCAATTCTCTATGTTCTGTTCTAGTCACTGTAAAATAATCGTCACCAAGACTTTACTTGCATGTTAATTAATATTGCTAATATTAATACTGAAGAGCAATGATGTCACTCTGGAGACTAAGGTGCATCTGATACAGGTTATGGTCTTTGCAATCACTTGTAATGCATCAGAGAGTTGGACAATGACTAGGAAGGACAGAAGGAGAATTGATGCCTTTGAGCTGTGGAGCTAGAGAGAGTATTGAACGTACCCTGGACTGCCAAGAAAACAAACAGATTCATGCTAGAGAGGGTTAAACCAGGCTGCTCCTTGGAGGCAAGGATTCTGAGGCTTCGTCTAACATACTTTGGACATGTTGTAAGGAGGGACAAGTCCTTGGAGAGGGACATCATGCTTGGGAGGGTGGAGGGACAATGCAAGAGGGGAAGACCCTCTTATGAGGTGGACTGATTCAGTGACTGGGGCAATTGGGATGGGTGTGTCAGAGGCAGTGCGATTGGCACAGGATAGAGCACGGTTTAGGGCTGTTGTACATAGGGTCGCTCGACAGTACATAACAACAATATTAATATTGTTAAATAATTTCTACATTCTGTTGGATCACCATTCTTTTTTTTATATTATACTGGTTTACTTACACAGTTCAACACATTGTTTTTCACATCGGACTTGATCCCTTTTTTCGAGAATTGGAGTAAATGTAGGTTCTCTTCCAGCCAGCTGGCCACATAGCTGCCTTCCGGATCTGTGGCACAGACTGGTGAGCATGTCCGGGGCTGCGTCTGTTTGTTGAAATGTAAGCAACAGGTATCCCATCAATTCCTGGGGCCTTTTTATTCTTTTGCCAATGCCTTCAGTGCAGCTTGAACTTCTTTCTTCACTACCACTCGCTCTTGCTCATAAGGTACTTCCTTGAAATGGTTCTGCGTTGGCTAATTCTGTTTGGTACAGTGACTCTGACAGTCCCTCTAGCGTCTTCATTTTTTTTTAAAGAAAGAGGTTTATTAGATGTTCATAACAGACTAGGAGACAGGTCAGGACAGACTGGCTTCCTTCTATCTTCTTTTATGCTTCCTTGATCAGTCAAGATTTTGCCCCCAGGCAGCATCTTTCAGTATTATAACTCTAGGCTTGAAATTTATTTTTCATTTCTTTCAGCTTGAGAAATGCCAAGTGGTAGCAGCATTATATTCGAAAGGGATAATTTCAGAGAAGGAAAATCTCATAGAAAATAGGTTATAGGCCAAATCCTTTTCTGAAAACAAAGACTACATTTGGTAATTAATAAAGTGACATTTCCTTGAATAAAAAAACTCAACTTCTTCTCCTTTCCGTTCCCCTTTAAGAAATCACAGATTTAGTACCTGTGCATCAGGGTTATCTCGATCTTCTAAAGACCCAAGTTCTTCTGGACCAAGAGAAAACAAGGCTTCTAAAAAAAGAAAAATACAGCAAGAGATGTAAATGCTATTACTCTGTATTTAAAAAACTGCTATAGAATGCAGAGACAGTAGTATTAAGTAAATCAGCTCCAGACTCAGCAACAGGACTACGCCATATTTATATTCTTATCCCACGCATTCCATTTTCTTATTGCATGTACTTCTTAGGCACTTTGTTCTCACCTACTTTCTTATTTCAAGTACTTCTCTCAGCTTACTGACATTCTACCTTGTTTGGATACATTTTTTTTTAATGTAGTAACTCTAATCTAAACCATGATTAGTCTTTCCCTTTGCTGTGAAACTTTTCAAACCCAATATTATAGACTCAATAAACAACTTATATGTAATAAATGTTACAAAAAGGGAGTTCCAGGGACACAGTCTGTAGTGAGTCGTGTTACAAGTCCAAAGCTGGCACATTTCTGGCCGTCTGTATCCCCCAGCTCCAAGGATAGATGGCTACTCTCTTCCTGAACCCCTTACAGCTTCTGAAAACCCACTGCGTCAGCTAAAGGTCTGTTCTGACTCAACAGTAATGCCCTTTTAAAAAGATACATTTAAATAATTGTACAGTTAGAATTTATCTTGTTTTAGTTTTCTAAATTGTCAGTTTTAAAGTTTACATAGCAAACTCATACCTCATTTAATAATTTTTATAAAAATTGTTCACGATTTTCATAATGCATCCAAATTCTCATTATTTCTATTGTTTGCTCAGTTTTCACTGATCTAGCATCCCTTGACTTTGCTTTTGGGTCAATGCTGAACTGTCTGGTCTTACAGTATGTATTATTCAGGTGAGTACATCAGTCAACATTCTTGGTAACAGCAGCCAGGAAATCAGGAGATGAATTGCATTGGGAAAGCAGCTGTGAGGGACCTCTCAAGAGTACTGAAGAGCAACGACATCAGGCTGGAGACTAAGGTGCACCTGATCCTGGCTAAAGTCTTTGCAATTACGTGCTATGCATCAGAGGTGGACAGTGAATAGGGATGATAGAAAGAGAATTGATACCTTTGAGTTGTGGTGCTAGAGAAGAGTGTTGAATTTACAGTGGACTGCTAAGAGAACAAACAGGTTTGTCCTGGAGAGGGTGAAGCCAGAATGCTCCTTGGAGGCAAGGATTCTGAAGCGTCGTCTGACATACGTTGGGCATGTTGCAAGGAGGGACTGGTCCTTGGAGAGGGATATCATGTTTGGGAGAGTGGAGGGACAGTGCAGGAGAGGAAGACCCTCGATGAGATGGATCGATTCTGTGAGTGGGATGATGGGAAGGAGTGTGTTTGAGACAGCAAGGTTGGCACAGGATAGAATGGTGTTTAGGGTTCTTGTACATAGGGTCACTATGAGTCGCAAGAGACTCAATAGCACCTAACAACATCATCATCATTCAGGGGTGATAATGTTTTCTTCTAACCCTTATAACATTTTTAACTAACAAAGTTTTTCCTTTCTTTTTTATTTTAACTAAAGTTTACAGAGACTTTGGATTTCCATTCATTCATTGTTGCACACTTTCCTCCCTGCCAACTATCAATAATAAAGTGGCATGTTAATACAGGGTTGCTGACTAGCAATTTATACACATGTAAGGTTGTCAACCACTCTTTTGTTTGTATGAAGCAGTGTCTTTTTGTTGAAGAGGGTAACTTTCTTTTGGTATTGAAACATCTTTTCAACGTAGAAGGTGATTTTAGTTTGAAAGTGAAAAAGCTGGTAGTTCGTTAGTCTCTAGATTTGTTTTAACTCAAAGGTTAGGCACTCTAACCAGTAGGTTTTGTCTGGATTTTTTTTTTAAATCTACCCTTCAAACCTACAAAAGAACTCCCACTGAGAAACTCTGATCCACTCTGGGAAAAAAAAAAAAGAGTTGTCTCCCAATTGAAATCACGGTTTAAAAAATGCTACATTTTTGTGTAGAGCTCTGGTGGTTCAATGGCAAGGAGCTGCACTGCCTACAGCATGTGGCTTGAATCCATCAGCTGCTCCGTGAGAGAAAAATGGGCAATCTCCTCCCAGGCGGTAGAGTCAGCTGTAAGTTTGTTTGGACTTGATGGTACATAATAATATATTCTTGTGATTTCTTAACTGCTGCCTCTTGATTGTGGATCCAAGTAAAATATTGATTGTAGATACAAGTAAAAGTAAATAGTGATTGTGGATCCAAGTTAAATGAAATATTTGACAATGCAAATCAGTTCCGTTTATCATCCTGCCACTTATGGGTTCCACTGTGATGATTTTTGTTCTATGTTGAAGCATAATACATATTAAAGACTGGAGTATGTGATCTTCATCAATAAATGCTTCCAGTCTTCTTTCTCAACAAGGTATGTCTGCTATTATCACAGTCTCTTGAGGAGTTTCATTCTTTTCTGGTGCTGTACTCTTCAAAAGTCCAGCTTCTTCTCGATATGTAAGTGAAAAATAACAGCTTTGGTGAAGAGATACAACCTTCATATACTTTTCCTGCCCTTAAGACATACAGCAACTTCATGTTCCGTTCCTATGACTGACTGTCCGATTCTTGATCTACATACAGATTCTACATGAGCACAATACAGTGTTCTGTAATTCTAATTCTTCTCAAAGTCACCCATAATTTGTTATGGTACAGAGTCGAATGCCTCTGCATAGTAAATAAAACACAGGTAAGCATCTTTCTGGTCCAGAGCCATCAGAAGCCAGCAATGAACAAGGCCTCTTCTGAATTTCTGGTGGTTCCCCATCTATGTACTACTGTAACCATTTGTGAAATATATTCAGCAAAATTTGACTTGTATGTGATATCAATGTTGTTCTAGAATTTATGTATTCTGTTAGATCACCTTGAATAGACTCAAATACGGATCTTTTCCAGCTGACTGGCTAGGGAGCCGTCTTTCAATCATCTTAGTATAGGCAAGTTAGCATTCATTTGTTGAAACATCTCAGCTGGAATGCTGTCAATTTCTGGAGTCGTGTTTTTCAAGGTTTTCAGTGCAGGCTGGATTTCTCCTGTCAGTATCACTGGTTCTTGACTGTACGCTACTTTTGTTCCTTGCACTTCATTCCCTATGTTAAGTCTCTGGTGATTTTGAATTCAGAAATTTTCGTATCTTGGAAAGGTAGTAAGGAGTCCTGGCAGGACTGGGGACAGTGCTGTGGAGGCATAGGACATGGAGAATTGTGCTGCTAACCCAAAAGCTGTGTGTCTCTGGCAGTCAAACCTACCAGTGCCTTTTCAGGAGAGAAGGCAGTTCCTCCATTGCTCTTTATAGCCTTGGAAACCTATGAAGGGTCACTGAGTTAGAACCAACATGACTGCAGCGGTTACTATTGTGCTAACTCAAAGCTTGGTGGTATGAATCCACTAGCCATTGGGCTGGAGAAAGAGGAAAGAGTCTGCTCCAATAAAGATTTGAAACCTGGCGAGCTCTGGTGGCCTAGTGGCAAGAAGCTGCACTACAATCCTAGAAGTATGCGGTTTGAATCCACCAGATGCTCTGCTGGAGAAGGAGGGACAATCTCCTCCTGTACCAGTCAGATCTGATTTGACGGCACACACACACAAAATAATAAAAATAAAATTAAAAAAAAAAATAAAGAGGAAAGATTAAAAAAAAAAAAAAGATTTGAAACCTTATGAAACAACAATTCTACTCTGGTGTATGGGGTCACTGTCTGATGGCAGTGGGTTTGTTTTTTTTTGGTTTAGAAAAGTAGTAACAGAGTGTTAAGTCTTTTAAGGCCTGCTCTGGGGCCTAGAACATATGGGGCTTATTCATCAAACGATCAATATAGCCGTAACCAATGCACGAGGATTCACCCTGAGCGCACAGTGTCAAACCAGGTTAGGGTCTGGGTTCACTCTGGGTCAGGCCAGGGTGTCAGGGCTTTCAAGGGCTCAGAACTGTAGATAAACGATTGTGGACCTGCAGAAATAAGGTGACGATGCTCTTCTCTCAGGAGCCTGGGTAACTCTATCTTATGTGTCTGTTCCTCTGGAGAACTTTCAAATCTTTCTATGTAAAACTTTTCCAATTTAAGAATAAAAACTAAACACAAATAGCATGGCAATAATGAAGTCGGCAGTCATGACAGACTGGTCTTTTAAGTTGAATTTTAAATTGTAATTGGTTGCTTTCTTTTTTTTTAATAAATAGTGGTGTGATAACACAGAATGTATTTAAGCTTCCTATTTCTTTGCAAAAGAATTAGTTGGCCTTGTATAATACACACATAGTATGGAACATACCGTCAGCACTTTTTGTCTCGCAGTGACTTTGCTTAATTACATATGTAGACAACTGCCCATATTACTCGTCAAAAGCACGTAATAGACCATACCTCTGAATTCAGGGGTGAAAAGAAGAGTCTGAAGAAGGGAATTGAGGTAGCAGGTTCCACCCTGATTTCTGATGCCACTTAACTTGGTGAATTCTCTAGGGGCAGGTGGCTCCAAAGCTTTAGTCTTTAAGGTCTTCCCTTTGTCTGAATGACCATTAGACTCACTGGGAAAATCCTCTTCAAATAGGTCCCCAAACATTGTGAAATAAAATGACTACCCTTAAAAAAAAAAAAAAAGACATGTTACAGAAATGCTTTATTTTTAGAGTATTTCCTCCAAACCTCGCCACTCTACACTGGAATGCTGAGTCTGTCTGTAGACACACGGTGGGCCTGTGAACACAGCTGGGGGAGGGGGAGAGGCGCACCCACTCCTCTTACAGCCGACCACCCTCGAAGGCCAGCGAGCTCAACTGTGCTGGTTCACGACTTCTGGAGTCTGCAGTTTCCCCTGGACGGTTTCTCTCTCCCAAGAACTGTTCAAGGACAGCTGATGAGCCACTGCCTGAGCTCAGACAGCACAAGAATAACAATACTAGACGGGAGGCGGGGAAGTGAGACCGAGGAGAGATCAGGGTGGACTGGAGGCTGCAAACCCGCCTGTCCCCATGCGGGCCAGGCTCCTGTGCACCGAGGCCTCATCACATCCCGGGCCTGGTTTCCACCTATGGCGAGGGGTCAAGTGAGCCCGTAAATGACATGACAGGGAGAGCCACCGGGCGCGGCAGGTCTGGACGGCGAGGAAGGACTTTAAGGGGCACGGTCACACGTGCAAAGAGAAAACCCATCAGGGCACTGACCCCGCCGATGGCTGGATGACCACCAACCACCGATCCCCGGCCTCTCTCGCCCTTCGGGGTTCAGCTCCCGAGGGAGACACCTCTACGAACTAAACGGAGTTAAATTAAAAGGATGCACGTCCCTTACAGCGGGATGGGGATCGGGGGCTGGGGATCGCCCGAGGACACGGACGCTGGGCCTCGCACCGGCCCCGAGTGACAGCCAGTGCTTTTCCCCAATGTTCCCAGGATCGACACCCACGCAACTGTGTTTCCTTCCAAAATCCGCCCCTCTGGGGGCTAACAAGCTGACACAGGGGGAATTCGAAGGTGAGGCCTCGACTTCGCGGTCGGGAGCCGCGTCTCCCCGCCCGAGAGTGGAGGTGGAGCGGGGGGTCGAGGCCCAGGCACCGCGGGCCGGTCCCGGCCTCGCCCTCCTCGGGCCGCATCGCCGACTCGGGCCCGCCGCCTGCCTCCCACGTCCCTCCCGCGCTCCCCGGCCGCCAGCCTCACTTACAGCCTAGAGCCCAGACCCCCGCCCAGCCAAAGCTCGAAGTGACCACACACGGCTCAGCCGGGCGCCGCCATGCTGGCTGACGGCGGATCTGCCCTCTGCGCAGGCGCGGGGTAGAGGTCGCGCTGTTAGGTGTCCCAGGATGCCCCGCGGGAGCGCCGACCCGTGCGCGAGGCCTTATGGGCAATGTAGTTCGTTGGCCCAACGTCTTTATTAAGTTTCAGTTGGCTGGAAGAGTTCCATATTTGTTCAGTTCCAAGAAAGGGTGGCCCAACAGAGTGTGGAAATTCTTGAACAACATCACTGATATAACACGCAATCAAAATCCTGCTGAAGAGTATCCAAAAACGACTGAAACAGTAGTACATCGTCAGAGAACTGCCAGAAATAGAGTTTAGAAGAGGTCATGGCTCTCAGGATATCATTGCAGATGTCAGATGGTTCTTAGCTGAAAGCAGAGAATACCAGAG